CACGTTCGCTGTGCACTAACTGTGTTCTTGCTTACGTAGCTGGGAGAACGCTACTAGTGCTCGTGGCGTCCAATCTGTGCTTTGATCGTACTCGTGAGGCTAGACGAATAGTGTGGCCGTTGAGGTACGTGTGTTCCTCGTGTGTCACCGTGTTGTGTGTATATTGTGATCAAACGAGATCCGGACACAATACACACCAAAATCGTAGATTAGAATCAATGACAAATTTGAGACAGCTTGATGTTGATAATTGATATTGATAATTTTGTATGCGGAATACAAAATTACCAACATTCTGGATGATCTGGACAGTAATTAATGAGTGCAACCATGTCCATGTAGAATAAACAAAGGAGATTCTTTGCAAGCATCTAAGGAAGCGAAACGCTTTTGTTGTATTTAACTCAAATAACCATTTTTTTTTCAAACTTGGTAGATTCAACACTTAAAGGCTGGATAACGCAGTAAAACACCGAAGACAACAAACAGTTTTATGGTTGCATGTAGTTCATGTGATGCGCATCATCTAACTTACCTGTTGCAAATAAGTGCCGTTTACACATAATTCTAAAGATCATATTTCCATCCCACGGCTAAAACACTTAACTGTGACTCAAGTACCATACTAAGGCATAATCAAACATTCTGCGTGAATGTCATCAACAATTTTTAGCTTTACGAGGTGATCTAATTTGTCCTTAGTGATGAGTTTTGAATGTGTGCTGCTCCTGTTTTTAACTACATTTCAAGCAAATCACAGTGAAAAAAGTCTAAAAAGTCTTAAGAAACGAACTGTGCAATTATTGAAACAAAAGTCGAAATCTATTTCAATTGACGCTTTTTTACTTTTTTGTGCAAATCGCCGATTTTCTACCGAAAATCACTTTTTGCTATAACTCTGGACGAACGGCAACTTGTTACAATATAGTATAGGCTTGGCTTATTTCAAATTTTGGAGTCACACTGAACTTCTAAATATAGGTAAGGGACAAGTCATGATCGTGTCAGCGCTTCGACTCCTTGGTTAAGTGTCATTGAGTTTAGCAAAACCACGATCTTGTTCAGTGAATAATTACCCGTTTGATCGAGTTATTTGCGTCCTTCTAAGAGAAAAAAGGCAGTTCTAGTAAAATACAAAGTGGATGAGTGGTGGGGTCAAATCAGATTTGCTACACCCTGAGTAACCAATTTAGTTTGGAGATGAGAATCTGAAGTTCTTCCGTGATATTACATTACACATCCCGGTATTTAATGGATCAATTGACCAGGATATACAGAGAAACTCTTCAGATTTGTCACCTAAAATCAAGCTGTCTCAAATTTGTCATTGATTCTAATCTACGATTTTGATGCGATTAAGATATACATTGTTTTTACTTGGCAACTGGATCACAACGTTTGTATTCAAATCACCAAACTGAACTCCATCGGAATCGCCTTCCAACTACTCTTCGAGATAACAGTACATGTTTTGCTGTCTTCAAAATCTTGAATCAAGTGAGAAAAATCTCGGGAGACTCGCTGTCGAATGAACACGGTTGAAAACCGGACCAGTTAGGCTGCTGATAGTCTAAAAAGTCAAGTGAACTAAAACAAAATATTATTCATTTCACGAGTGACTGAAATGCGTTCCTAATGAAATATAAGTGTAGCGGTGTGGTTGAATGATAAATTGACAGAAGTGATTGTGACCAGTATCTGATGGAAAAATTAACGTTAGCTGACGGTTTTCTAAAATCGACAGTTGTTGGGTTTGTTATGTACAGTTTATAAAACACAAACTGCAATCTGGTTGACGAGTTCGTTAAAGTTAACGATGGAAAAGTAAACTGCAAAGCAAAACGGTCATAAAAGTATGTACCATGTTTGCTAACTTATTTAGTGACATGTTCAATTCGTTCTCTGTCGCTCGGCGGCTAATTTACTCGGTATTTGTAACATCAATTACATATAACTGCATTGAGGATGTCAACTCGATTGGTGATGAAACGTTTGCAATACAATTGCCAAGCTCGACGAACAACTGAATACCAAGTTATTCTACCCGAGCTACAAAAGCAACAATCAACACCGTTGTTTACAAACTGTCATATATATATATATATGTATATACTTTTTCAATAACCGTCAGTCTTTTACCAGCAGGATAGTTCACATCCAGAGAGAGTGAAACAAGAAGTACTGCGATACCAACTGCTGGAGTGAATCCATCAGTTATTGTTAACCAAGGTAGCCTTGTAGTACCGGATAAGACTCACAATAAAGCATTCTAATATTAAAGTTACTAAAGGCTCGATGGATGTGTACTGCTGGTAATTCCTAACAGGTGTAAAGCAGCTGTACCATATACTAGACGGAATAACGTTGTCTAATCGAAGAAATACTAACTGATTCACAAAGCTAAATCATTTGGTGTGTTTAAAATGATTTGTTTATACGTACCAATTCTAAAGATCGCATACTTTTCATCATCACATTTATATTGAAATTAATATCAGCAAGGTTAAAATTATACTGTATTACTCACCGATGTGTGGTTTCCGAGGCCATTTCGCCATGTGTATCTACCCCACGATGTGGTGGCTTGTAAGATTCTACCGGTTTTACATCATACGGAACATATTTGGTGGTGTATTCTGAAACTCCGCATGGGCCTCTGATTTGAGATTTTCGGGCATTGTGTGGGCATTTATGACGGCTGTATTTACATAGTTGTGAGTGAAAAGGGGGAAATGGGTCAACAGATTCACGTGTAATATAAATGGACTCTAAAATCAGTGCATCTTTCAAGCATTTATATTTAAAAATTATTATATCAAAACAATATATTAAGGCCGCAAGTGTGTGAGTAACGCTCCATAAGCGGTTGATTGATTTTAGAAATACCGCAACCTTATTCTATTTTTTCGTGTTGTGTTTAAGTGGAATCATTTTATTGGATTTTTTTGTAACATTTCGAAATCTATATACTGATTCTGATTCGAACTGTAATATCTATCGCAAACCAAAGTAGTACTAATAGATGTTGTTTTCATTCATATTTTTGTATGTAAGATGCCTAAAAGAACGTTTAGTCAACCGTCATATGGGATCTGACCGATTTTGAATCTGCTCTTTGAAATGTGTATTGGTGAAGTGGAAAATTCTCCTTGCAGGAAAACAAATATATTTGAAGGATTACGGTCGCCACATAACTTGAATTAGGGAATTCCCTGGCAGTATTAACTGCGTTAAGTATCAAATACAGTTCAGTATCTTTTCATCCACATTGACAGAGCCGTTTGTGATGATACAGTACGTGTTTATTTAAGGTTTTTGTGCGGTAACAATTAATTTAGTTGTGTTTTATATAAAGAGAAGTAAATAAAATTTCCTGCGATACACTTTTGCATTTAGATTTGTACTATTCGATGCAATCTGATGTAAACTCTTGACTTAAAATGCATCCATAACTTATATTTCAAATCACGTCCTAGATCCGTGCGTTATGATCTTGGTTGTTTGTATTCTTCTGGTTCATTCATCAACATTTTAATAATACACCCGAGGGATGTGACATCGATAAAACTATACACGCATTAATAATGATTGTAAAACAGTCGCTATTGATCGTTTGAATTGTCTTTGCTAAAAACCCACATCTGTAATCTGTTTTGATTGAGAACAAGTTGCACAACGAATAAGGATACCTAACTAGGAATGAGCAATTTAGGGACTTCTTACATTGCATCCATTCGCTTCGTGTGTAAATACTAAACCAATGAAAAATATAGACCAACCTAAGTAGTCTAACTTGTAATTAGGGAAGTAACGAATGGCGTTTAGACAACCAGATCTATGCTTTAAAACCTCTGCTATTCAATGTCACTGCGATAAATCACATGGACTAACTGCAAGGTTTTTTCTCACCAATGATAAAGAATCATTCACAATATTTTTTCCAGGTTTAAGCTTGTATAAATCTAATAATATGAGCAGATGATACGCAGTGTCTGTTGTTTAGCCCAATATAGGAGGAAATGGTAGATGTCTAGGGTCGATTCTGAGGGACTGAAGCTTCAGTACCCTATGCTTAAGAGCGAGCCACGCTAGAGGCAGTCTCCTGTATTTCGGCAGTTAGGTGGTGTTTGGATAATAACCTGTGAATATGGAGGGAGAAAAAACGCGACCGGTCCCTTAGTTGGATTGCGATGATGATCGTGAGTGTGTAAGACATCTGCGGATATCTCAATCTCTACACTCCATAATAAATACCGAAGATATGTGGCGAAATATCACATAGAAACTGACTGTGGCCAAACTGAATTGAGACATAATCATGGGTATATTTGTTCATACACTTCATGAATATACTGCGTCACATACCTACCCAAGTGTTAAAGCCGCTTCTATAAAACCGGAGAGAAATGAACTATCTGCCTAACTGGAATTGAAAAGAACATAGAGGAGATCAATGAAAAGTACCTAATTCAAAGTCCATTTTGATTCTACGGGTAGGCGTTAAGAGTCATGAGATGCTGGCTCAAATGATTATCGCCTTGTCCGTCTTAACTGGCCACAGATTCTTCTCAAGGCACAGCTTAATTGAGCATTTTTGCTGCATTAACAAATTTTCAAGTACGAAGGGCAGCGGGAACTCTCTCGTATTAGCCGCATCTTATTGTGCTGCACTGGATCGACTAGGGTTTGAAACAAGTCCAGAATAGCTCTGTCGAGTTTCAATCTGAATATATCATCATTTGACTCTTCCACCACGACCTCCGGTAACGCGTTCTATAGGGCTGTCACCCTCCTTGATAGACAATAGACCAGCGGCAAACCGTTTGACTGCATCCTGCGGAGCATCACTGCATAGCCTCTGTTGCGGTTATTGTTACTCAGGCGGAATTCCGATTGCGGTTCTGGGTCAAAGTCGCCCCAAAAGATGTATCTGGTACAAATCAGGTTGCCTCTCAGTCATTTGTATGTCATGGGAACCAACCCCGTTGCCGTCACTCGGTCTTCAAAGCTGCTCCTACGTATTCCTACGGCGAGGTGTGTAGCAGCTCATTGAATTTTCTTCAACCGAGAAACCTCAGAAGCCATATAAGGAAAGAATACCGGACTGCCATATTCCAATCGAGGGAGTACGTGGGAGGCAAACAGCAACCTGAAACTTGTCATGGGGTAAAGGAGAAAACGAACGGCGGATAGTACCCAACATGCTCCACGCAGAAGCACGAACCCTTTTTGTATGCGCGCAAGTTTTCAGGTAGTGACGAAAATACCCAAAGCCATTCCTCAGATGATTGTTGGAGCACAGTACTTCCTAAACGGTAGCTGGTGGGGAAGTTTTCTTCTAATTCTCATGTGGTCGCATTTTGAGATGTTCACTGGCAACCCCCACACACTTGAGCAGTCCATCAGGGCATTCAGGTCGTAATGAAGAAACTTGTGATACGCTCCCAACCGGATTCCTTCCAACCGTGATTCCTTCCTTCGTGCGGTCGCATCATTTTTGCGCTCCCGGTTTAAGTGG